GTGTGGAATTGGGCACGATGGAGGTCAACCGGTAACATATTACAACATGGTCCTGGAGTTAGGGTTTGACCCACAGCCATGAATAAAGCTACAAGCAAAGGGGTTTCCTGCCAGTTCATGCGTTGGTGCAACATGGCGACCCAGGAATGCTGAACTTTGTGATGCAACTGGAGCCTTCACCAGAGCCTTGCGCGTTTTTTCACTGAGATGGTGAGGGAAGTGCATTGACAGGTCCAGGTAGCAGCCTGTCCTGTCCGGTGATTGTTGTGATCCCCAAACACTCGGGTCCTGCTCCCCGACCTGACTGAGTGGAGATTGTACCACCAGATTCGCTTCGCTTGTGCAGCCATTAAACATACAAACCACCCAAATGTGGGAAGGTTGTAGTTTCCGATGCTAATCACGAAAGGTAGCGGTTACGCTACCTGAGTTTTCCTTTTGATTTAGCAAAAATGAATTATAACCAGAGTGGAAGCCTATCTCACTGAGAAATCGCCTCCGACATTTAATTTTAAGGGCTGAGGGGGGCGGGGCAACTCCACCCTGGCGCGTGTCTTTGTCAACAGCTACAAAACACCGTAAATACAAGTGTTTTCAGCTCCTCCAGTCTGCAAGAGTGGCCTCAAACCACTCAATTTACAGTGTGTTCTGTGGCCAAAAACCTTGTAAAAACCGATGGATTTTGAAGTGTCTAGGCTTCAAAATGGTCGAAAAATGGTCAAACACCTGGAAAAAAATTGTCGGAAAGGCTTTTTTCGGCGTTCGGAGGCTTCTAAATGGCACAAAACGACGGTATTTACACAGGTTTGTGCGCCTTTCCGGGACAAAACCCTTTACACGATGGTTTTAGGCTGTGTACGCTTCAAAGTGGCCACAAAACACCGTAAATACTAGTATTTTCAGCTCCTCCTTATCTTCAAGAGTGGCCTCAAACCACGCTATTTGCAGTTTTTTTTGTGGCGGAAAGGGATTTTTCGGCGCTTGGAGGCTTCAAAGTGGCACAAAGCGACGGTACTTACACGGGCTTGTGCGCCTTCCAAAAACCCTGTAAATTGGGATGGTTTTGAGCTATACAGACGTTTGCGCATTAATTTTTCTATCATCAGGCTAAGTAACTTGACCTACCTCAGTTCCCCTTACTTTCGCAATAATATCTCACACTCAGTACTTGGAGCTTTGCCTTAACTTTGATCCTCTAGCAAGGGCTTCTGTTCAACAGGGGGGGGGGCCCTGACCTCCAGGGTTACGTCTAATTCCCTCCCACCTTTCGTTCACCCCCTCCTCTCTCAAGTTACATGCATGACTTGTTTGGGTAATTCAATGTATTTAGTCCTAGCATGTCGTAACATGCCTTCGTTTAACATCGTTTAACCACTGTTGCCGTAGAGTTGCTGGACTCGACTTTTCCAATTGCCAGAGAGCGCAGATCTGTGGGCTTTGTGATTTTTGTGCCACCCATCCATTTCGAATTAGAGTTGCGACAATTCTGACACTTGGCCACCTTTAAAGAACACTAAGTTGCAGAAACTCCACGTCGTTTCTGGATTCTTGCCGTTTCGGCTTTCATCTGTGGATGGAATGCCCCATGCACCGAACGACACGGACGACACCACGCCACATGGCTGACCCACATTATCCACCGTCCGTGGGGAGTGCCCCAAAAAAGGCCAGCTGTAAATCTTCCCGTCCATTGACATTCCAGCAAACATCTACAAACATGCGATGCTCTAAGACTTCATCCCCGAACAAAAATGCAAAAGAATTTGGTCCTCGGAGATTCCTCAGAGAACCGCTCTCCGAATCGGTGGATCTTCCGAACGCCATCCATCCACCCATCCAACATCCGACTCGCTCGCTCGCTCGTCATGGTTGTTTTTCACCGGAAACGTGGCAGCGTGGCCGGGACCAAACTTGGTGTACACCGGATGTCCCCACAGCATACACTGCATCCGCACAGCGGTCATGGTTCAACAGGAAATGCCCTTTTTGTTGGATATTTTGTTCTTTTTCCGCGATGCCAGGCACACACAAGACAATCCACCCCAATCCATAGACATGTGTTGGTGCTCCGGCAAGGAGCCCGGGCTCGCGCGTTCTTCCTCAGGAAGCACGGCCGTGCTACTTCAAGAAGCCCATGCTGTTTCGACTCCCCGGTGAGTCCCGCAGCTACCTTTGTGCCCGACAAGCCTCAGTCTCCATGGCGGACCGGACGGTGGAACCCGGCCAACCGGTGCGTGGCTTGGTGGGGAAACTCGGAAAGGTGGAAGACATCCGGAAGGTGCCCAAAAGTGGTGAGACACCAAGTTGCCCTGATTTGTGGATGACTTGTTGGTGTGCAATTTTTGTTGGGGGGTGTTATTTGGGAGAACTGTGGAGGCAGCGCCTGGCTCGATCCAGATGTCCAAAGCTCGCTCGACTGCACAACAACCCACGAGTACCCGTTTACAGTACGCGGGGTGTTGAACACCGGAGTAGGGTTTTACACATACCCTAGAGGTCCAAAGACTATACATTTTGCCCCACCATGCCCCACAGAAGGAAAGACAATTACTTGTCAGGTCACCTAAGAACCATGTTTCGAATAGTCTTCGACCACTAGAGCACATAGACATGATAAGGCATGATATTTGGATATATTTGGTTTGGTATATATGTTCGAATCTATTCACTCCAGACTCTGTTTTTGTCACCATTTGGGCTAGAATACGGTGGCCGAGCAGTCATTTGCAACAGAAACCGTAAGGCGTGCTGCTGCAGCTTTGGAAGAGCAGCCCGTGCTGACACTGGAGGTCATGTTGCATGAACCCCCCCTAGATACGCTAGATAGACCCGTGTTGACCCGGAGACACCAACTGCAATACGAACTGAGGTTCAACATCAAAAGAGTTGGAGTCTTGATTTCCACTCAGAATTGTAACAGGATCACATCCAAGGCTTGCATGAGAAAACAGGTCTTGTCCAATGTTGAGTCCTGGACTTGCCAGCGCACACTGCTTTGAGGTTTTTGGATGCATTTGACTGCCTTCGATTCCAGCCATGTGCAGAGGCCTAGGGAGCAAGAGCTTGAACTCATCCAGGAAGATCCGGATGGGTAACAGTGCCACTCATGTCAGCCAACGTGGGTGGCCCGGTGTTCCAACCAAGCGGATTTTAAGATCATGAAAGATCGAAAGGCACGGTTGTTTTGATGTCCAGTGCTGAAGTTGGACACCCAAATCATGACAACAGCTTTATTCGATGCTTGTCATCGGTGCTTTTCCCAGCCTGGGTTGCATTCTGCCGGCAGCATCGCTGAAGCCTGCAAAGTACTGTATTCTGCGTGTGTGTGTGTGTGGGTGTGTGTGGGTGCAGTTTTTTGGAGGAAAGCCAAAAGAACTAGAATTCACACCAGGAAAAGAAAACTGACGGAAAGGTCCAGTGTCTAAAGAAGGAACAATAAAGCAACGCATAAACAGGTCTTCCTTCACCTTCGCCCTCGCAGTTGGCGCGGCATTTGCAGCGCTGAACGCCTTTGCACATGTTTGATCTTTGGTCCTGGTGTAACACGAGACGTATACGCCGGTGATTATGCTGCAAAGCATTTTTGCGGCTTCCTTACTCTGTGTAATAAGTGAAGCTTTGCCTTGCAGGGAAACTGACAGAGCCAAAGTAAGGAAGAGAAAACACTCGGACTCGGAGCTAGACGGACGTTACATGGCATGCGGAGCTACTAGCAGCTACTAGCAGGATGCGAACAGCACAAAATGCTCGTTATTTCCCTAGATGCTGCATCGATGTGATTGCATCGGTCGGATGAACATCGCGAAGTGTGACAAATCGGTCGCATGGAACCTAGCTGAAACATGCTCAGAAGCCCCACCCCAGTGATTCAGTTTCTAGTCCAGCGGATGGTCATCCAGGCGCATGATGTCAGGAGTTCACGCATCTTCTGAGTGCCTTGCGTCAAGCCTCGTGCTGACACCTGGCGAGTCCGAGTCCGAAGTCTTGAAGATTGGAAGAGGTAGAATGTTGTCTCCACACTTGTGTTGCACCAGCACCCTCAAATAGGTCACGGTCACCACCTGCTACGTTCAAGCACTTTTGAGTCTCCAAAAGCCACCAGAGGAGACCTGCTCAAACGTAATCATTTCCACATCCATGTTTTCGAGGCTTGACATTTAGAACCCCTTCACAAACCCCTGCAGTTGCGTGACACGGAGACATGGTTTCTACATTGACATGTTTCTAGTTTCTATTAATCCTACAGTTTTTGCCCGTCATGCACTGGATCAAGACTAGCAGCCTAAGGCCTAGCATCACCTGCATGTTTTTGCACACTGACCAACCAACTTAGTCGTTAGCACCACGGATCTTTGGTGCTCATTGGTGCCGCCACTCCAGCAAACGAGTTTCGGAAGGGCCCTTTGTTGCAAGATCGGAGGCCTTCGCTTTGGACTTGCCGATCTCGCTCAAAGTTTTTTTCAACTGGTTTTGTCACGAAATGCTCGACCCGACTTGCGGCGCGCAAAATCGCCGGTCAGGAAGGCCACGAAAGTGTGCCCGGAAGTCCCAAATGAAAGTTTGTTGTTGGAATGTTGTTGACTTCTTGAAAGATTCTCTCCTTAGGACTCAGATTGGAGGATTTGGAGAATGTCCGATGGATGTTGGATTCCGTGTGTTTCTTGTGACTCCAGTTTGTGGGACATGCGGCTGATCCAGATCACTCAAATCGATCCTACTGTAGCTGTTTCTTTTTATCATCCTTCATGGTCCATCCTACTCACTGGGCAGATGTCAAGGGTGCCCCGCACCAATTGAAGGTAAAAATCCTCAAAAGGCTACAACTCATCATCAGTATGATGCGGTTAAAGGCACCCCCCACCAGTGGTGCTTTGATGATCCTTCTGAGTTAACGACTGCTCCAAGGGTCTACAAAGCATCCTTTCCGTCGCTGGTTCTTCAGTTCTTCATGCGCTTCATGTCACGTTCGACGTTTCTTTCCGCGGACGTTCCGAACCCAGGTGCCATACCCGGCATATTGGAGCCGTCGCCCTCAGGGTGGAGGGTGTGGAGGGTGTGGTGCTGCTCCGTTTAGAGCACTCCTTCGCCCCACCCAACAAATGATTGCAACACCGTCACCGGTCACTTGCTGATGCAAAAAGATACTTAAAAAAGAAACTCGATGGTAAATGGTAACATGTTCAAAAAACTAGACTGTTTATTACTGTGAACATTTTGTTTCATGTCACTATCACTGTTGGAATTGGATCGGGCTCCAAGGATTGCTGAGGCTTGACTGGTCCAAGCATGTTTGGCAGAACGAGGATTTGGTCCATCGCCGGTTCTTCCCATGTGTTCTCTTCCGCTCCTAGACTTTCATGCAGGAAAGAACGTTGCAACATTGAATGAGTTTAGAACCCTGCTTAAATACAGAAGGGCATCTCATCTCCCTGGCTCCTTGTCAGTGGAGGAACAAGTTGAACCATGTTGAACCTGTTTGGGAATGTTTGAGTTCTGAGCTGACATGCATGATTGCGAGGGCCCCCCATACTGCCCATGACTGGCAGACATGCAAGGCAAAGGCTCCAGCTCGGCAAGTTTGCCAGGCCACCGGTCAAAGCATCAAGCGCTGTGTGTTCATATGCGTTCATGTTCTTCCTTTTTATGACCTTAAGTAGTAAGATGTTAGCAAACCCCAGGTTGTTTCCATTGTTTTGTAGACGAGGATGACTGCATCTCAGGTTTGAGGAGAACCTATATGTTAAATGCAGCATCAGAGGAATGTTAAGATTGCTGATATTGCTGGGCCGATTCATTTGCGGGTTGTTTGGTAAAAACTGTGCACCAGGCCATAACCCTTAAGCCAAGGTAAGACAATTTCCTAACTTATATCTAACAGGTTATATCCTAACTATTATCTAGGACAGGAATAGACTATATATGACTATATTTTTAACTAATATCTAAAAGAAAAATAGTCTAAAAAATAGTCTATTTATAAATAGACTATTTTTGCTGTATTTGAGAGGTTTTGTACTTAGGGTTTTCAGCTACAAATGTATCCATGTAGGCACTTTGTCAGCATCCTTTTGTAGGCACTGTGTGTGTTACATTTTGTAGGCACTCTGTTGCATCTTGTAGGCACTGTCTTACACTTTGTAGGCACTGGGACAAATATGTTGTTCTTTGTTAAGCTTCACATGCTTCGCAGGATTGGCTTTTCCACAAACATTTGTACAAACACAAACATATGAATTTGCATAAACTGCCACAAACACAAGCACAGTTGCCTCTTCCACATCACATTTGCAATCTTCCACTTGTCATTTTTCATTATAATTCCTGTGTCTTGAACCACTGCTGTAAGCCTCTTCATTGAGCAGCGATGCCTGTAGTTGCAAGAGCTACAGTGGCTCCATCTATTGGTGTGATGCAAATCATTGGTGCTTT